TCTCCTTTACTATCATGCAACAAATGCAGCAATGGCACTTAAGTTCACCCTGGATCGTGATTGCCCACTGTGGCTCGAGATGGGGGCAGCTAAGATTACTCCTCACTCTATTAAAGATATTTTATGGCTACCCCCTTTTCAACAACCACGGGTGGTGGATATGTACCCATCCACCTAAGTGGCTGTTAAATCATGGGATATCCTTTATAAGAATATTCCTTCTGCTTTTTGGTCCAGGGCTACTCCCATATCAGTGTTGCAACCCTCATTACCTGAGCTGGATTTGGATTATTGGTCTTCACAACTTAGTAGGAGTTTCACTTTGTGTTGAATATTGGTGTTAATGCAGTTGAATATTTGCGATGTATTTGTGTGGAGTGTTGATATATGTATAAATGCAGGGGCGGATCTGTGTTGAGGGCCTGTGTTAGTGTTTTTAAATAGCACTATGGAGAGCCCGTGAGTAAATGTAGGCCAATTTTCTGTGGCACATCTGACTGTGTGTGACTGTGAACAAAAGGTGTTTTTAGAGACACTATAGTCACCAAAACAACTACAGCTTATTGCATTTGTTCTGGTGAGTAGAATCATTCCCTTCAGGCTTTTTTCAGCCAATACTATGGAAAAGCATTGTGATTGGCTCACAGAATCCCTATTGATTATGTCAGCCAGCCGGCAGATCAGGGGCACAAGCAGCAGCTGCAGACTTAAATACAATTGAGATTTTACTATATTTAGGGAGGCAAGGGTATGGCTAGATGGTGATTTTAATACTATAGGGTCAGGAAAACATGTTTGTGTTCCTGACCCTATAGTGTTCCTTTAAGCAGTGTCTCAGTGTTTGTGTGAATTGTTTGCCTCTGCATTACATGGGGATATCCTATAAGTACAATTAGTTATTTAGGATCTACCATAGCTTTACCTGTCTGCAATAATTTCCGTGTGAGCTCTGTAACCAAGCCTTTTTCCCATTTTGATGAGATTTAGTTTCTATTGTTTAGCCATCTATGTATTATATGTTTTGTGGAATTTTCTACTGATTGATTTTCACTTTGGACATTGTATAAAGTCTTGTTGATGATATGAAGGATATATACATTTTTTTCTATTCTCTCTTCTTACTATATGCATCATAGGCTTGCTTTGAGGCAGACGTTTAGAGCTGTGTGAAGTTAGTACAAACAAATGGTATATGTTTTTTTATTATTATTTAATTACAAGGGGTGCAAACTCATGAGGCCACATCATCTAAATATAATGTGCAATATCTTCAAAGCACAAACAAATGGTATATTTTTATTCACGTTTTAAAATCACAATTTCACATTGCTGGATTTAATTGTTACTTTGGGTGTGTTTTTTACTTTGTAAAAGATTTTGCTTGTTTTAATTGGTATACCTACTATGTTTCATAAGGAGTGTCTGTTGATTCATTAGTTAGGAAATCTGTTTACACTGATTCTTTCCTTGGTTTTTGGTAGAGGATAATCCGTTGACACTACTAGTGCGGTCCTACTGGCAATAGTTTCCTGGACTTTTTTAAGTCTGAGTACCTTACTTTGTTTTTTCACTTGCCCCCCAACATTATTTTGGGTTACTACAATAATGACCACAAGTTTCTATGTACACTATACACATTATTAAAGGACCACTAAAAACACCCAGACTATAAAATCTCAATGAAGTTGTCTGGGTGCAGTGACACTGTATGTATTATTATCCCTGCTATATAAAATTGCAGGATGTTACCACTGCAGGGTTAACACACCTCATGTGGCTGTCTTTCAGACAGCAGTAGAAGTGCATCCACATTAAGAACCAAGTCAAACCTGGTTCGTAATAAAATGTTGCTCTTAGAGAAGCATTTGATGGACGCAGCACTGCAATGTGCCATGCATGCGCACTAGCCTCCCAATATAAAAGCATTTGATTGGCCTAGATCATCAAGACTGAAAATCTCAGCCAAGGAGGCTGTGTGGTCATGGACAGATCAGTGTGTCAAGGGAGAAAATGTAAGTAAATCTACCTTTCTTAAAGGGATACCGTAGGCACTGTATCTGCTTCATCTCATTAACCCCTTAAGGACCAAACTTCTGGAATAAAAGGGAATCATGACATGTCACACATGTCATGTGTTCTTAAGGGGTTTAACTGGTTATAGTGTTTGGAGTCCTCTGGTACCATAATTTCTTTCAGCATTAAACTGTTTTTAATGTTTTAATGTTTTAATGCTAAGCAAGAGTCCCTGGCAGTCCATCCCTTCTGTCCTGCTTTGGCTAATAAGGAAGTATTAGCCTGAGCAGCAATGGGCAGCTGTGATTGGCTGAGAGTGTCAGCTGACAACTTTAAGACTATCAGAGCTCCAAATGACAGTATGAATAGGTATGACAACAAGGACGTGTGTAATCTCTGCCTTAGCTACACATACAGAAGGGGCTGGACAGTGGGTGCCCAGGGACTCTTATTTTGTAGCATACTGCACAAGCATGGTGCAAAACTGAATGGAGGGACAATGCCAGGGCACTCCAGGTACTATAACCAATTCAAAGAGAGGAAATGGTTATAGTGACTACAGTGTCCCTTTAAGTATTCCAATGGGGGGACAGACACCTGAACATCTACATGACTCTATCCAAATAATTGCATGAAAGTTTGAGTAATGTTGTCACTTTAAGGAAAAGGTATATAAACATGTTATTTGCTCCTCCCCTCTAGTTACATCTGCTGTGTACTGCGCTATAGCTACAGACAGACACGGCATGTGCACTTTGGACTTCATTCTTATAGTTCAGTAAAGAGCAGCCAGAAGTAAATATCAATGCAAAATAAACATGATAAGCATTTGTCTTTATCAAAGCGGTAAATGTATTGATTGAGTGCAGAGAGATAAAAACGAAGTGGTTTAATCACTAAATGTAGAACTGAATGGAAACCCAGTTTGCTCAAATAATAAAAAAAACAAGCTGGGAAAAGGGATGAGGTGAAATAAATTTTTCACCATAGCTATTTCAGCGCTAAGTTGCAAATTGCGTTTTCAGTTCATCAGGACTCACTGTTTAGTTAATAGAGCCCTAGTTAATAAAAATGAGCTAATTGTTTACAGTTACTGAGAAAAAAACCAAAAACTAAAAACACCAAAGTACAGATTTTACACATTCAAGCCTTAGTGGCATCATATTACCTGGACCCAGTGGTTCTTGAACACTATGGTGCATGTCTCTGGATCCACTCCCTGCAGGTTTAGACTGTGACGTTTATTGCTTACACTGACAATCTGTGACATTGTGTCTCTTTCTTACACAAGGCAACCTGCGGCTTTCATGTCCAGATACTTGAGGAATGAGCCTTCTCTCTTCGTCGGGTCATTGTTTTCTGAAACTAATTTTCACAGAGCCCTCAGCATTGAGATTACCTGTATATCAAAAGAAAGGAAAAATACATTTCATTAAAGGTTGGTGCCTGACCCACGTTGATGTAAACTATTGATTTGTGCTTACTCATGAAGACCTTGAAGCCAAAGCCTGCAAACACCAGGTTACCAGGCAACCATGCATTGCCACGTATGTAGTGCTAATACTAGGTCTATAAGCAGCAAATAGGTTCATATACATAAAATATTTACAGTCACTGTCAAACATATATCTGAGAAATTGATCTAAACTAAGCTAGATATAATTTATATACATTCATACATAGTTAATAAGTTTTTGTTAGGTGATGCCAGCTAGACACAATAGGAAATGTATTTCACAAACATCTATGTTCGCGCTAGAGTTAGCCATCACGCTTTAACCCATTAAGGACCGAAGCAATTGTCCAAGTTCTGAACCAAAATAAAACCTAGAATTTGCACTATATGTCTGTTCAACTATTATTTACCGCTTTCATATTAAGTGCACCCACACTTATTATATATCATTTTATTCAGGGGAATATTCATTTTATTTAACATTAAATATTAATGTATGGAACACAATTTATTATGAATAAAGCAAAAAAAAGAGGGAGAAATTAAGAAATGTTATTTTCAAAGTTCTTCATGGCATTTTAACTGTGAATGTCAGAATACTGTTAGCTTTTACTGCAATCACATGCACATGTTTGTATGCTGTGATGTCCCACAAGTACAATGATGCCCCACATATACAGGTTTCATGGTGTTTTGGAAATTTACAGGGTCACATATAAGGCTTGCCCATTTCAGTTTTTACACATTGAAATTTGCCATATTGGTTTGCTGGGCTTGTCTTTGAGACCATATGGCAGCCAAGAAATGAAAGGTGCAGACTGCAAACTCCTTCGGTGCAGTCAGTGGACGCAACGCCAGGCAAGGAGATATTTTGATCTCCCTGTCTCCAATGGCAGAGCGCCCGTTCGATTCAGAGCCAGCACTTCAGGTGACAGCAAGGGCACACCATGCCCCTGTATGAGCTCGGACCCTAGGCAGCCACATAAGCCGCCTAACGGGCAATCTGACTCTACCACTATCAACTCTTGCAATGCCCTGCTGCAGATATCATACTCAAATGACTTGGTATGCTCACTGCTTTGCAACTAGCCAACACTTTTTCCACATTCCTTACTCTTTTATGCACATTGCTTTACAACCTCCCTTCTACCTTTATTTACCTCCCTGTATTTGTCATCATATTTAATCCAGTGTCCCTTTTTGACGAGCAATAATAACAGAACACATTATTCACCCTCATTGCCTTGAGAACAATAAACAATAAATAAAGAACAATGAAAAAAAGTTGGTTTTGTACACATGGTTCAGTTTCCTGCATGCAACAAAGTGCTGTCAAGAGAGCTAATTGGTAAATATCATGATGGCTTTACTACCTTTTAGAACATGGTCAAAATATTTACATGCACTAATTCATAAGCATATTTACAATGTTTAAATAGAATTTCTGTCATGTTGAGTTCTGTCAATCAAATAAAATCCTAGAGAACATTCCTTTTTATTCAAAACTTAAATTTTTTAATTATTCCAGGAATGGAAAGCAAAATCTCTCTCTCTCTCTCTCTCTCTCTCTCTCTCTCTCTCTCTCTCTCTCTCTCTATATATATATATATATATATATATATATATATATATATATATAAATAAAGAGAGAGAGAGAGAGAGAGAGAGAGAGAGAGATTCTCAATCCGCAAAGCTTGCCTGGTGTTATGTTTAACTAAAGCTCTACATTGTTGAAGTCTTTGGACCATAGGGTGGAGGGTCTTCTTTGTTGTTCTTATTATTCTGTTTTTTGCTGGTGGCTTTCTCTTTACTTATATGTGTGTCATTGTTTTATAATATTTAATCAGATGTTTTGGATTACTATGCTTTTTATCAATAATTTATTTCAGTGATTTTGGCAGAACATATCAAAATTAACATTCTTTATTTTTAAACAGGTAGGTATTATAATATTCTTTACAGTCTATTCTATTTATAGGTTATACCATGCATACTACTTATTAGATTAGCACCTTTATTTTTAGGGGGGAAGTGGGTGATGGGTTTAGGGAGGTGGAAGCAGACCTTTAGCAGATTTGAATATGGGAATACAGATTAAATATGGGAATACATTACATAGCATTACTATTATCTTGCATGTCAAAGGCCAGGGGAAGAATTTAATGAACTGCTACACATATTTAATCCCTTGTACCACTTGCATCAGAGTGTAAAGACAGAAAAGACAGCATGCAGCCCTGGTAAAGAAATCTGCTTCACTGCAGTGGGATAACTTGCTCTGCAGCCAAAGAGAAGCTATAAGTATCTGCACTGCAAGAATTTAGTTTATTTGGGGGGGACAGGTTCGACAAAAATATAATTTTGGATTACATAAACTAGATTAGCAGGATAACCAAATCCTTTATGTCAACAATGCTTGGAAGATGTGAATAAAATAATAGATTTTGATTCTGGGCAGCAAAGTGAACCTTTGAATGGCATAGGTACAAACACTGTACATGAACTATTCTGCTATTGAAACATCTTTGTTTGAAGCCTGTGTCTAGAAAGTGGCAATCCTTGACACTTTGAGACAGCATTACACAGTAACAATGTGATGTGGAAGCTACTTGTGCACCAAAGGGTAAGATTCACTACGTGCTCTTCAGTTAGGTTTGCAAAGTATGGATCAAATGAGTTGGGAATAAAGTCACAACATGCCCTGGAGCAACAACAAGCATATGACCAGAGTAATGCTACCAGTTACATCTTCTATTACAACTAAAGCAATACTTAAATCTGTAACAGTTATTATGAATAGATATATCACTTTGCTGACAGTTCTAGCAGTTCTAGCTCACGTCTTAACTGTCTCAATGCAACAGGTTCTTTAAAGGGATACTATAGTGCCAGGAATACAAAGCTGTATTCCTGGCACTATAGCTCCCGCTGCGTTCTCCCTTGTGCCTCCCCCGGCATGGTGTATAAAGGGTTAAAACCCTGATCCTAGCAGCGATGTCACTTGGCGCAGGGTCACGGCTCCATGTGCCCATTAGGCCTTCCCCATAGGAAAGTATTGAATCAATGCTTTCCTATGGGGAAATTGATGATACTGGATGTCCTCATGCAGAACGTGAGGACGTTCAGCATCAGTTAGCGGACCAAAAGTCCGGTAGAATACCACAAGCATCTCTGGTGGCAGTCTGGTTTATTTAAAACTGCAATGTTTTATATAGCAGCACTAAGTGCAATAGGGACACTGTACTCAGAACACTTCAATGAGCTGAAGTGGTCTGGGTGCCTACCGTGTCCCTTTAAGTCTTCAAAGAGCAACTGTTATTACAAATAGTTTATGTACTACCACTGAGCACTTTGAAAACACCTTTACTTAGTTTTGAACATTTTTAAACATATTCAAAAGTTTGAAATGTAATATTTCAAGCTATTTTTTTTTCCTTTGGGCACATTTGTTATTCATCCAAGAGAGCTGAGAGTCGCTCAGGAAATTCATATTCTGAATGACTGTTGACAACTTTGCAAGCTTCTTTTTATTTGCATTTTTTTTTAAATGATTTTTTTTATTTTATCCCCAGCTGTCACTGAACTTTTGAAAATTATGACAGAGTGCAAAGGTAATAATACTCACACAGATAAACTGTCACATTACCCAGTAGAAATGACAGCTATGCATATTATAACTTTGTTCCATAGTTTCATGCTAGAACAGTATAAGTCTATGTATCTATCTGGCTGGAACACTATGAAAACGTTCTCTAACAATTTTAGCTATCAAAAACAACACAATTCTTAATAAAGACTGCGAGTTTTAAGCAGTCACTGTGTCATTGCATTCCTGTATAGCTGTGATTTTGATACTATCACTACTAAAAGTGGAAGACAATTATCTGATAAAATCTGAAAAAACATGAATTGTCTGAGATAAGCATTTTTGTTTTTTTGCAATATAGTATATGGAGTTCAAATAAAATGATTTAACTATTTCAGTAAATCAAGCTTCCTTGGTTATATTCTGAAAAACCTTTTTTGTACAACTGTGCAGGGCAACCTACAGTACCACTATATTTATTTTTAAAATAATTTATACATCTTACACCAGAAGGTTAATTGACATGAATAATGATATACATTTTAGTGGAATAGTTGCCTCAGAATAACTCCATTCCTCTATACTCAGTGTTAATCTGTGACATCCAAGCACATATTGAACTACAGTTCCTATGAAGCTCGGCCTGTTTACAGACTTCTCAATTTCCAGTTAAAAGAGAAGAATTAAGAACCCATAAGGCCCTATGCAGGTTATTAGTTTGGGCCTCCCCTTGCAGTCTTAGTACTGTATACGGATGGTGAAGGGGCCAAGCCTTGGTCAAGCATTTTGTCCCATCCAGCCCTTGCGCCCCAGGCAGTTGCCTTCTGTTGTCTCATGGTTAATTCGGCTATGGTCAAGTAACAGCAAGGTGGTTTTACTGTTTGTTATTCTAGGACACATTCAACATCCTGAGACAGTTTATGGATGGCAGCATTAAGTAGTTTGAGATAATTCAGAATCATATTTTATTCATTATGCTGCTTACATCTTTTCTAATTAAACATTTTCAATTTGGAGAGGGCTATTATGTTGGGTAAATGAACTCTAGAATATCTTATATAAAAAGTTGATGTGTGAAAAATCTTAATGTATAATACAGACTGCAGAACAACGTAAACACAAAAGTCTTCCAGAGACTCTCCTTAATTTATGCATGATGGTGACCACAGGAAAGCATAAATTAAGCATAGTCTCTGGAAGCAGTTTAAGCAGTAAGTATTGCAGTTAAGGACAGTATTGGGGGTCAGGGGCAGTATTGTAGGGGGATAGGGACAACATTATGGGTCGGGGGATAGGGACAGTGTTATGGGGCAGGGGCAGTATTGTGGGGTAAAAGGAACAGTATAGGGGAGCAGAGGCAGTATTTTGGAAGCTTAGGGAGTATTGGGGGTAAGGGCAGTATTGTAGGGGGATAGGGACAATATTATGGGGCCGGGGCAGTATTGGGGGATAGGGACAGTATTTGGAGTCAGGGACAGTATTGAGTGCAGGGGCAGGATTATGGATGGTTAGGGGGCATTGTGGAGGAGAAAGGAACAATATAGAAGAATGCTATGTACAGTTACACAGAAGAAGGCTATGTACAGTTACACAGTAATATACTATGTGCAGTTACACAGAAGTGCTATGTACAGTTACACAGAAGAATGCTGTGTACAGTTACACAGAAGAGTGTTATGTACAGTTACACAGAAGAGTGTTATGTACAGTTACACGGAAGAATGCTATGTACAGTTACACGGAAGAATGCTATGTACAGTTACACAGAAGAGTGTTATGTACAGTTACACAGAAGAGTGTTATGTACGGTTACACAGAAGAGCGTTAGGTACAGTTACACAGAAGGATGTTATGTACGGCTGCTCAGAAGAGTGTTATGTACAGTTACACAGAAGGTTACGTACAGTTACACAGAAGAAGGTTACGTACAGTTACACAGAAGAGTGTTAATTACAGTTACACAGAAGTGTGTTATGTGCTATTATTCTGAAGAAGTGTTATGTACATACTTACTTATCTGAAGAGCGAAAGGTACATTTTATCGGAAGAATGCGCAGTTCCTCCCCTGTACATCTCTGAAGGTCCTGACTTGTCTGTGCCCCAGGATTTGGCCGGCTTTGTCTGTGTCTTACTGATTGGCCTGCTTTGCCTGTGCCCCATTGATTGGCCTGCTTTGTCTGTGCCCCATTGATCTGGCCTGTGCTGTCTGTGCCAGAATGTCTTCATGCCAAGCCTACTGCCACATACTCACGCTTGTGCATTGCATGCGCTGCCCAACTTGCCTCGTCACTATATGGGGTGCTGCCCCTATCTCCCTGCCGGTGACACTTGTCCTCTATACTCCTTGAGATCGCTTTGCCTGGGACCGTTGCACAGGAGAACCCTTATCCGGGTTAACAGCGCAGACAATGACTACTATGGCAGTGACCACCTCTGTGAAATTAGGCTTCAGCCAGGGTCCTCCCTTAAGCTTATCAGGAGCGTAATGCTAGAGGGCCCACCTTTAAAATGGTGACGACTTGAATGAGTCAGACTCCCCTAGAGGAGAGCAGGCAAGGGCACATAAGCGCTACTGGAAGGGTGAAGGCCCTGAACCAGTGACTTGAATGAGTCAGACTCTCCTTGAGGACTCTCCTTTTTTACATGGAAATACTTGATGGAGGCTTATCTCAGCTCCAACCCGTACCTTTTATAAGGGATTGGACCCTTGACCCGGAATTTCACACTTGCCTCCACTTTCGGATGACATCCCAGACGGGGCCCCGAATCTGGGGTGGCAAACAACCATATCCAAAAAGCAATTGGGTCCCCTGGAGGTGATTGAGATAAAGGGATCTGAGTCCCAGCACGAGTCTACGATTGAACGTATATTCATTGGTTACTTTGAATTAGACGCGGCCCTCAAGAAACTTCTAGGGACCGCGGGGCCCAGTTCTGGTAAGGTGGCCTCTATTTTCTCCCTGGTGAGATAGGTATCTTGTGCATCAGTCATTTGGGCGACAATACTACCTGGTTGGCAGGTTGGGAGGAATTGAGGACATTCAGGAATTCCAGAACTATTTGAAGAGATCTTTCTTGTTTTCCACGCGTTGGGATCTGGACG